AGGTGCCCCCGTTGCGGCAGGGCCCCGTGCTGCAGAGCCGAGGCTTGGCTGCAGAGAGAGCCCAGAGCGGGGTCACCCACAGCTGCTGCCCCACACCAGCACCCAGCAGCCCTCCTGAGGGAAGCCTGACTGCATCCCGGGTCCTGCAACACCACAAAAACTACACCCGTGCAGATGTGCTTGGGGCCAAATGGTGCATGATGCTGGGAGACAGCTGGCTGCTCCCGAGGGCAGAAGTTGTGGCATGTAAATAAAAACCACCAACACTGATGGTGTTGTAGAGGAAACAACTGATCTGCTGTTGCAGCTGTTGGGTGACAACATTCATTCAATCCCTCCCTCTACCCTGCAGGATGGGATGGGAAAACCTCCACCAACTTCCAGCTCTGCAAGCAACTGTTCATCTCCCAGGAAGGTCCAAGCCCTTCTCCCAACCTGTGCCAGGTGCTGGTGCCACAGGGGGCACTGTGGAGGTACCTTTCTCGCAGTGCATGCCCAGGAAGCCTTGAGGACACTCGCAGCTGTAGGAGTCCTCGTTAACCTTGCAGGAGCCCCCATTCAGGCAGGGCTCTGAGTCGCAGGGGGATGGCATCGCTGCAGAGCCAAGCACAGGGCACCACTGAGGACATGTGGCAGCTCCCCTTGAGGTGAGGCGAGGGTATCCCCACCCCAGGGCTGTTCCCACATCCCTGTGGGGTCTTACTGTGGTTGGTGCCATAGCTGGTGTGGCAGACACAGAGGTAGCTCCCGCCATACTCCATGCAGTACCCGCCGTCCGGGCACTGCGTGTTCATGTTGCACGGTGTCGTGGTGACTTCTGCAAACACATGGCAGTGCCAGCCTCTTTCAGTCGGTGGCAGGAGGACACCCACATGGAAACAGGAGTCTCCTAACTTTGCAGGGTCCAATGAGGCAGGACAGACCCTCTGGCACACACAGTGCAAATGGCAATGCCCAGCCTGGATGCTCAGTGAGCTTCAGCAAGGGAGCGCACAAAGGCCACGATTCCCTCCCCCACCCACACAAAGGCCACGATTCCCTCCCCACCCATGGGAGCTGGGCTGAGGCAGAGGCTGGGAGAGGCACAGCTCCAAGGGAAGGAGCTGATGGAGGTGGAAGCACTGCCATCTCACCAGGTGACAATATTTCCAGGCTCAGATTCCGTGTGTGTCCCTGGCACTGTGCTAGGCCCAGGCATGGGCAGTGCCTCCTTGCTAACCCACAGGCTGACTCAAGCATCCCAGAGGGAATGAACACAGCAGGCAAGAAGCTTTCACCTACCGAATTCACAGAGCAGACCAAAAAACCCAGGAAGGCACTGGCAGACGGTGACATTCCCCTCCAGACAACTGCCTCCATTACGACACTCACAGCCCTCAGAGAGCTCTGCAAGACAGGAAACAGGAGCTTCCTGGGACCTCTCCTGCTTGTGGGCTTGGACAGAAGCCACTCACAGGGGAAGCTCAGGTGGGCAGCAGCCCTGAGGCCCTCAGACACACAGGCACAGCCTCCTCCAGGAGGACAGACCTGCTCAGTCCCAGAGCCCTGGAGAGGCTCTCTGGGGCTGCTGCTTCTCCCTCTCATGAGCATGAAGGCTCCCCTTGACATGCTGCACCCCATAGCAAGTCCCCTGGGCTGTACTCACGGTCTCGGCAGTCCTGTCCAGTGTAGCCCTCCTGGCACTCACAGACATAGCCCCTCTCAGTCTCCAGGCAGCTGCCTGCGTTCTGGCACGGCTGGGAGAGGCAGGCGCCGGGCACGCGGGGCCCACCTGTGGGGAATGGGGAGCCTGAGCTGGACAGCTCCAGTGTGGGGCTGGAATATCTCTGTCCTCGGCATCCTGCTGGAGGCTCCAGCACAGTCAAGCACAGAATCACAGAAATTCTAGGTTGGAAGAGACCTTTAAGATCATAGAGTCCAACCCATGTTCTAACACCTCAACTAGATCATAGCACCAAGTGCCACATCCAGTCTTTTTTTAAACTCTTCGAGGGATGGTGACTCTACCACCTCCCTGGGTAGATGATTCCAGTATTTGACCACTCTTTCTGTAAAATACTTCCTCCTTAATTCTACCCCGTATCTCCCTTGGTGCAGCTTGAGACTTTGTCCTCTTGTTCTGTCTCTTGTTGCCCGGAGAAAGAGACCAACCCCCAGCTCACCACAGCCACCCTTCAGGAAGCAGCCCTGCAGGAAGGTGTTCCCTCCTGGCAGCACCATGGCTGCTCTGCACATGCCACCCACCAGTGCCTATGACTGACAGAGCCCCTTTGCAGCCATGTGCCCATTGCTGCCCAGTGCCCCTGACTGCAGTGCCCGTGCCAGGCTGGTCGAGGCACAGCCTCACGCACCGTACTGGCAGTTGTTGCCGTAATAACCCGGGGAGCAGGTGCAGATGTAGCGGCCAGGGCGGATGTAGTTGCACGTCTGCCGGTTCTGGCAACTCCGGTCCTCGCAGGAAGATGAATCTGGTAAAGGGAAAGCAAGGCAGTGAGCAGGAGCAGAGCCTGGGCTTGGGAGAGGGCCATGATGGCCAGCAGAAGATGGGGGACACAGTCCCTGCCGTGGGACATGCTGGGGTACAGCACCTGTCTCGCAGCGCTGTCCCACAAAGGGCTCCAGGCACACACAGGTGTAGTTATTGACCAGGTCCATGCAGTGCCCGCCATTCAGGCACGGGCTGGACTCACACTCGTTCACCTCTGCAAGGGGAGGCCAGGAAAGGTCATCAGGTCATGTGTGGGCACAGCCAGCTCACCTGGTGCCTCCTCCCCAGCCTGGATGATGCTCAGGAGGGTGGAGGTGATGGACAGAAAAAATAGGGGCCACTGGCAGTTCCAAACATTCCCCTCCCAAAACTACATCCAGGAATGAAGCTGACTGGGAAGGAAGCTTGCCAAGGTATGAAACATCACCATCTCCATCCCATTTGTGTTTCTGTCACCCACCTGTTTGGCAGTCCTCCCCTGTGTACCCTGACTGGCACAAGCATTCTGCTGTCCTGTTCACCACCTGGCAACTCCCACCATTCTGGCACACCCTGTTCTCACATGGTGATTCTTCTGCAGAAGAACATCAAAAAAAGAGAGGCAGGGGTGTCAGCCTAGGTGCAGGATTAGCACATGGCACCCTCTACACGTGGTAATACCAGGCCTAGGCAGAGTATGGACTGGAGCCACCCATGCACCTTCTGTCAGGAGACAGCGGCCATGTCCCCAGTCATGACTGTCCCCAAAACCTGTCCTCAGGCAGCTCAGCTCTTTCACCCCACCACACCTCCTGGAAGTCAGTGTGCTCTGCTGGGCATTTCTCCCTCCCTTCCTTCCTCCCCCACAAGTCAACTCCCTTCTCGCCTTTTCCACTGGCGCGGCCGCTTGCTGGGAGCCAAAAGCTTTGGCGGCACTTCCAGTGGCAGGCAGAGGCCAGCACTGGGGGAAACCTGTAACCACAGCCCTGCCAGGGACTGGGAGGGTCTCCCCTGGCTTTGAAGAGCTTGGGACCAGAGCATCACCTGCAAAAGCAGGGCCTGCAAGGCTTGTTTGAGCACTGGCTGCCAGCTTTTCTGGCTAAGGGAGTGGTGGTGGAAGAGTGCTGGCAGCAGTGCTGAGCACAGCCCTCAGAAGAGTCAGCAGAAGGAAAGGCTCGTGGCCAGAGAAAAGTTTCTTTTGCCTGAAGCAAGCTGCAATCCAAATTGGCTGTCACAAACTGCTAGAGCCCAGCAGCTACTGCAGGAGCCCTGGTCTGAAGAGCCCTCCCAAGGGCAGAAGTGCCCCCAAGCCTGAGGTCTCTGCTTTTCAAGTGCCTCACTGCTCACCAGTCTCACAGCTGTTGCCTCTGAAGCCTGGTGGGCACCTGCAGGTGAACCTGCCAGCACCGTTGAGGCAGGTGGCTCCGTTCTGACATGGCTGGGAGAGGCACTCATCCACATCTGAAACACAGCCCCGGGTGGGGACAGGAGCTCAGGGCGGGGACAGACAGACTGCCAGCACGCAGCAGTGACACTGAGAGCTAGACCTGCTCCCTGCAGCAAAGGGCTCACCAACATGGCACCTCTTCCCAGTAAAGCCGGCCAGGCAGGAGCAGGTGTAGGAGGGGTTCCCCGTGATGCAGTCCTCGATACACTTCCCCCCATTCAGGCAGGGCCGCAGTGTCAGGCACACAGAGGCTGTGGGAACAGGCAGTGACCCCCTGTCACCCCACCCTGGCAGGGCTCACCTGCCACCTTCCAGCCACACCAGTGCCAGGGTCTCTCCCTGCACCCGCCCGGCTCCCTGGGGTGCTTGGGGAGCCCGTGGGGCTGCCTGCCTGATGGTGGGGCAGGGGCTGCTCCTTGCGGGCTCCCCTGGGACAGGGGGCAGTTTCACTCCTCCTGTGCAAGGGGGAGAGGCTGCACAGGTCTGCAGCCTGGCTGGGGAGAGGTCTGCTCCATGGCTGAGGGGACATGAACATGCCCTCACTTATCACTCAGGGCAGAGGGAAAGGGGACGGGGAGAGCCCACGTACAGAAAATCCACCGATAACGCAAGACACACAGATCACGAGTGGGAAACACGGCCAGGGGGAAGTGGGGATGAGGAACTGGAGACCAACAGCTCTGTGGGGGACATGCCAGGACCCCCAGAGTGGGGAGCATGGACCAGGCCCTGGCAACCTAACCCCACATGGCAGGCTGGCATTCAGCAGCCCTCCATTTGGCTCAGCCCAGCGTACCAGGACTGATGGACATATGCTCCCCCCAAGGGTGCTGGTCCCTCATGCCCTGCCTGGCAGTGGGCTGGCAGGGGCCCAGCTGTGCACATCACCTCCTCCCCAGCCTCCCTCATCACTCCCCACAGGCTTCTTTAAACTAAGAACTCTTCCTCCCCTTCCCATTTGCTCTCCCAGCTGTTCCCAGCCCCAGGGCAACCACAAGGTGCCATGCCCAACCACAGCTGGTGCTGAAGACAGTCCCCACATAGCTGCCTCCCCTCCCTCCCCAAAGCCCTTCCAGACATCTCTTCCACCCCGCGGAGGTGGGGGTTGAGGCAGGGAAAGATGGGGCTGGAGAACAGTGTGGGGTTGGGTTGGGAGTTAAGTAAACCTAACTGCTGTCCTCTTACTTGTATTGCTGCAGCCCCCCACTTGCACCTGGGCATCATCGATTCTGAACACCCAGCGCCCGGGGATACCCACATTTGTCGTCATCTCCACGTCAGCGATGTCATCGGTGCGGGATCCGGGGATGTTGAAGTAGCGCTTTCCATCACCGGCGTTAAAACCTGCCTGGAAGGACAAAGGCACAGAGTAAAGAGACATCACTAATGCATGGGAAAGGCAGCTGGAGCAACAGGATTCATCTCTCCTGTCACATGGCACCACTGGTGGCACCACTCAGACCAACTTTCCCTTTCCACAGGCCAGCGCTCAGTCCTGTTCACATGACAGGACAATGGGGTGAACTGAACACTTGGCCTGCTCAGTCCCCTCCTGGCAATTCAAATCCCATTTCCTTCCTCTCCACCTGCAGCATCCTGCCTGCTGCAGGCTGGCAAGCAGGGAGCCAAGCACGGATCAACTGTCGGTAAATTCACACATCCAAGTGGGCACTGGGGTTTTTGTGGGTGTGGGTGTTGGCTTTTTTCCCCTTTAACACAACAACACACACAGGGATGAAATAAAACTACAAGCAAAAGCTGTGCTAGCAGTGACAGCTGCTCTTAAAGGCTGAGGTTAGGAAGGAAAAGGGACTATGAAGCAGCAGCCAAGGCAAAGATCTGTGGTTTTGGGATAACAAAGCCCCCTGTATGGTCTCAGCTTTGGGAGCCAGAGCACACACAGATATTTAAGAACTCTGAAGAAGAAAAAACAAAAAACAAGCAGGGGGAGATTTTCCACCTCCAAGAAACCCAAACAGGAGCCACGAGCTCTCAAGGTGGATGTGCTACCCAGGCACCACATTTGCCACTTACCTGTGCTGCGATGCCACCGAGCCCAGCAAAGTCCCCCCCACTGCTGGCGTGCATACCCGTGGTCCAGGTGATGGACTCATAGTTAAAGATGGTGAAGGAAAGCTTGCCATCCGTGATGAGCACAATCTGGAAAGTGTTTACCTGCAGCAGGGAGGGGAGGAAAGCAGTGAGGGACGATGAACCAGTCCTAAAATAAAGTGACAGAAATTGCTTTCAGCAAAGGGATGTTTCCTTCAACCCCAGTCCTCCTCTATGAGCAAGGGCATTAGAGTTTAGTTATTTTTATTTCTAACTTGTTGTGATCCTGAGCTAGAACAGCTCGCTTCTCATCTCAGAGGAATGGGAAAAATGGGGGAAAACATGATATTGAGCATCTGGAAAGCAAAAGGTGCCTCACTTTTGCCCAAGAAGGCTGATGATGTAAAGCCTCCACATGGCACAAAAAGAGGAGGGTTTGGTATTGCTAGCCTACTATTGTTCTGTCACAGCAAGGTATGGTGATGGAGACATCATGGCCAACATGGCCAACATCATGGCCAGCAGAGCTCTGCTGACAGCTCTGTGCCAAGTGGAAGGTCTGGCAGCACACTGAAGGCACACAGGTGGGGTGGCTGCCATGCCTCAGCTACTCACTGGTGAAAATGAGTTGCCCCCGAAGAAGGTGACTCGGTACCAGGTTGCAATGAAGACCCACTGTGCAGAAAACTCTGGGAACTCGGGGAAATACTGGGCAATGTCCCTGCTGGCTCTGTCCAAGATGGGCTGCTCGGTGCTCTCTCGGTAATATATTTCACCTGCCCGCCGATTGTCCACATCTGCCCAGAAAGCAGCAACCACACGCCGGTCCTTGGAGATGGGGAAGGCCACTGGTGTGAACTGGGACACCTCCTTCAGGAACGAGATGATCCCGTTGTTGTTTACCTGCAGAGAGGAAGGGAAAGAAACGGGTGGCCACAGTTGACTCCTGCTGCCAGCAGGAATCCATGTTTTAGAGGTGCTTTCCATTTCATCTTTCTCTCCCCCTCCCCTTTCCACAAATATTGGAGCGCTTCCCCTTCCTGTCCTTAGAAGCAGAGACGTGCCTGAGCACCCACAACAGCCCCATCCCCCGGCCCAGCCTCCTGCTCGCTGGAGCGCGGCTGCGGCCGCTGCCCGAACAAACCCAGCCCTGTTCTCCGGGCCAGGGGAGGGGAACAGCTGCACAAACTGCAGGAGCCTGTGCATAAAACAAACAGTGCCCGGTGCGTGGGGCCAGCTCACAGCACCG